GTTTTGGAGTGATGTGTCGTGGAACCTGAGCTTAGAAAAGACGTGCAGTTCCGGTTGACCCAAACTTTGATAAAAGTAAAAGTAGTAGTAAACATACTAATCTTACCTCCTTTCATTGTTCTTAATTTGCCAAAACTTAAGCTAAAAGTGCCAGTAAAATTGTTTGGTTGTTAACATCAGAACTGACATTTTACTGTTCTATATAAGTAATCTGAGTTGATGTGAATTGAAATTCGGATGCGGGTTTTATCTCATTTAACTCTGACGCTTGTTATAGGAATAACCACAATCAGGTGTAACTTATGATCTGTTCAATTTGTGTAAATAAATGATTGCATAGTCTTTTATGAATCAACTTGAACTCCTCTGAACGTTCACTTATTGTGTCACTTTCACTTTGCACAGTCAAGATATTAACAAGTAATGAGAAATACCTTGGTAAAAGTTTCCTCATAACCTTATGTATGAGAGATGTGGGAAAAGCTTAATTCACTTTAAGCTCACCTCCTACAGTTTCCATCAACCTTTTCTAATGCGATACTTCAAAATGCGCCTAAAAACATTAACTATATGGCTAGTGATTGTGTCAAGAAGAGAACTGGCGTGGAAACAACTGGCAAATCTTCAAGCAAGTTCACTTAGTGGGTGGGGGAAAAGCACAGTATAGCTTTTATCTATAAGCTGTCTAATTTTAGCTTTTAGCCAGAATATTGCTTATTTTAGCAGTTAGCTACAGTTTATGTAACATTAGCTTTTAGGAATGTTTTGGTCACTTTTGCTTTATATATTTTATCTATTTCAGCTTTTAGCTACAGTTATGGTAGATTTAGCTTTCAGATACAATTTTGGCCTATTTTAGTATTTGGCTACCTTTTACATTTTCCTTCTTGTTTACTTGCTTTCAGTTTAACAATTCATATAAGTTATTCTTTAATATGTTTCAGCAGTCATTCAGCATTCACACTGCAGTTCTACAGACAATGCCATTTTCTCTAGGTTTTGTTTTTGTTGTTTTCAAGCCTCCTCCACACAGTCTGTTTCAATACTTACCTGTTTCTCACCACTCCCTCCCTCCTTCCACACAACACTCTACAGACACCGGACAAGAATTGCACATCAACAATCCATCTGCATGTATCTTTAAAGGATTGAATCTCTCTGTATGATGTGCTGTAAATGAGTGGATATTCGATGAATTTCGTGTGTACTCCCAAGGCATGCTGGGTGAATATTTCTGAGTTTACAAGCTGTAAACATGCAGTAGGTATCACTGAGAACCTCTCACATCTCCTCCCATTCCCTCCTCCCCGCTCTGACAGGAAACACTGATTGTATTAGAGAAACATCAGTGCGGCAGCACTCTTCTAACACAATATCATCAACCAACACTCAGACAGCCGCCTTCATCATTTAAATACACAGAAAGAAAGACAGACAGAAAGAAAGAGACAGCAGCAACAGCAGAGAGAGAGCTTTACCTGATGGAACAAGAAGGAAACCGTTCCAATGAACATTAGCTCTTAGATATGATTCTCTCTTACATAAAAAGCAAGTTTTGCAACCAATATTTTAAAAAAGATTTGACTTTGGACCTCTTTATGCTGGTAGTTTTCTCCATGGCTGCAGGTTAAAAAACACTTGTAAAAAGGTTCACATGAAATAACCCAAGCACACCCCAGACGTATTATGAATGCTAACAGTTAATGTTCGCAAACATTTCAGGATCCACTCATCACATTTTGTATCTGAAACAAATACTATTAAATGATCCCATGCTAACTCAGTCACGTCTGAATAAAACAAGATAATTTATTGAATGTAACTATAATTTAACTGATATTACTATTTTACAGACAAATCAAAGCCTTGAATTTGATGGTTGTTCAACTAAATTGGCTTTATTTAAAATAGCAGTTTTTTCATTTTTTAATCACCACCTAAGGCAAAAGAGTAATGACACTTTTTGCTCATGTCGGTGCATGTTTACTTGTCTGTCATGTTAGGCCAACTTATGTGTCTTTATCTACATCTACATAAAAAATGATACAGAATTTTAAATCTCACTAGTTATCGCTGACCAACAAACCGTAGTTTTAAGTTATGATCATCTTGTCATCTTGTGTTGAAGAGGAACAGATTTACAGTTTTTTGATCAAACATGAAAAAAAAACTGAAAATAACATTATCCATGATCTCAGATTCAACTAGTTGTGGCAGCCGTTTTGAATTGTGGTGACTCCAAAATGTAATCAATTACACAGTCATCCAATGATTACTTTCTGGTAGTTTTATTGAAATCCATCCAGTATATTTTGAGAAATGTGATATTTAACAGATAAACAGGATAGACTACAATGGTTTAAAGGCACAGTGTGTAGGATTTGTTGTTTTCAGCGACATCTAGTGGTTGAGTGGTTGAATCATCCTCCCTGGTCCTCCCCCCACCCCCACCCCYCGCTTCCAAACACAAAGGAGTTGCTACGGTGTCTCTCAGGTGTCAAAAACCTTTGATAATTCTAACCGCGATGTCTACCAGCAGCTTCAGGGCTAGTGATGTTTCAAGTGGTTAGATTATGAGCTTTAATAAGAAAATTATCCCAGCTACAATGACAGACAACAAATATTACATTTATAGTATTACAACTAAAACAGTTTTAGACACCGCCACCGCAGTTTGTCCTTCATGAGCCTTCGTAGACAAGATGGCGGCTGCCTGTATTGGCGACCCGCGACCATGGAGATATAAACAGATTTTATAAGGTAAAAATAATAAAACAAGGTCTTTGTCTGCAATGATTAGACATGTTTTTTTTTACTATTGTCATTAGTAATTATCTCAATTTCAGCTAAAAGAATTGACAAAATCCTACACACTGTGCCTTTAAAGCCAAGATTTTAGGTGGACATTTTGTTCATATGTTGCAGTTACACTAAGTGTTGAAGATGACTCATTTTCACACCAAATTTTAGCTCTATATGTGTAAAGATGTCTGACAGGCAGCTGACATTTAATCTGTGTTTTCTGAGGTCAGTTGATTTGAGTTAGATCATAAGGTATTCACTTGTAAAGGTCAACCCAATGATAACTTTCTGAAAGTTTCATTAGAATGTGCTCAGTGGCTTTTGAGATTATTTGCTAATGTTACAAACACACACACACACACACACACACACACACACACACACACACACACACACACACACACACACACACACACACACTTTGCCAAAAGTATTGGCTCACCTGTCTTCACTTACACATGAGCTTCAGTGACATCTCATTCCTAATCCATAGGTATCAATATGACCTTGGTCCACGCTTTGCAGCTGGAACAGCTTCAACTCTTCTGAAGGCTGTCCACAAGGTTTAGGAGTGAGTTTATGGGGATTTTTGACCATTCTTCCAGAAGCATGTTGGACAGAAGGCCTGGCTCTCAGTCTCTGCTCTAATTCATCCTAACAGTGTTCTATGAGGTTGAGGTCAGGACTTTGTGCAGGCCAGTCAAGTTCATCCACACCAGACTCTGCCATCCATGTTTTTATGGACCTTGCTTTGTGCACTGGTGCAGTCATTTGGATGGGTGAGCTAAATACTTTTGGCAATACGGTGTATATTCAAATGTAAAAGAAACATTATCACCCTTTCGCTTTTGCAACAAGTGATAAAAATCAAACATTTCACTGAACATTTTATTTTGAGAAACTCAGATTTTTATCTGAACAAAGATTAAAGCTCCGAAATTAAAACTATTTTCGTTCTTATTCAGACCTGGAAAAGGCTTGAACCAAATTCCCTACTTTTTAAGACTGTGGGAACTCTAACAGGTTGAGTCAAAGTCCCATCAGCAAAACAAAACCTCCTCTACAGAGCTCCTCCCTCTCATGTGCCTGCAGATTACTAAACATGAAAATAGTACAACCCTCTCGCTGTCTTTCCACAGCAACCCCCCCCCCACCCAGAGCTATTTAAAAAAACACAAGCAGCCAGCCCACAGGTGGACTGCAGCACACCAGCTTAGGCAGAAATGTGAGGGATTCATGCTATGAGAAGCAGACGGGCGGGGCAGCTGTCCAGATCAGTCAGACTGAAGACAATCTGGGAATGTGCAAGTGATCCCAGTTACTTAAAGAGGGTGTGGAGCCGTGTCAGGGCTCAGCTGCTTGGGAGTAAGTGTGTGTGTGATACCATGACAGAAATCCACAACACACCAAGTCCCCCACGGCCCCGCCTAACTCCAACAACAAGTAGCAGAGAATTAATCTAGTTTCAAACACCTGCAGCGGGGATGTGAATTTAATTAAATTATTTGGTTTAGATTTTGGCTCCAAATTATTCGTTTATTTTAGTTTCCTCATGTTAGCATCTGTTTTGCTAATTTTATCATATATTTTGTTAATTTTAGCTAATGTTCTGATGCTCTCAGCTACAGTACTTTTGCTTTTACCTACTATTTTGCTGCTTTTAGCCTCAGGCAACTGCTCTAATGGTTTTAGCTTTAATCGCCTTGTTTTGCTCATTTTAGTATTTTTTTTCCAATACCCCACATTTATTTTTAGTGAAAATTCAACAGGAAGGGATCACAGAATACCAGAGGTGTCAAATGTATTTACATTCATTACTTAAGTAGAAGTATAGATACTAGGGTTTAAATAAATACTTTTTTGGAAGTAGAGGTATCAACTCAAGCTTTTTACTCAAGTAAAAGTAATAAAATACTGATTTTAAAACTACTTAAAGTATAAAGTAAAAGTAATGAACACTTAAAAAAAGCCATTACAGATAAAAGCTTAGGCTGTGCCACAGGGTTAGCATACCCCCCCCCCCAATTTTCTTCTAAAGTCAGTAATGAGTATAATGTTAAATTAAATTGTTAATATCGAAAATTTTTGAATTAAGACTAGCTTCAGCCACGATAATCTTCATTCTAGGCTACATACATCTGCTACAGTATGTCCACAGGTATGATGCAGTGAGTTCAGTCCAATAGGGTGACAGAATAGTATTTATTTACACTTCTCATCAACCACAATCAAATTCACTCTATCCATGGGCTCCATGTGTCTGGACAGATTTATATTTATTTATTTTTTTCTGAACAATGAAAAGATGGAATAAAAACAAGTCAAAGTTAAATGGAAATGAAATACTTTTTGCATTTTTAAAAAGTAAGGAGTAGAAAGTACAGATAATTGAATTAAAATGTAAGGAGTGGAAGTAAAAAATAGTTTGAAAAATAATTACTCCACTAAAGTATAAATAACCAAAACTTCTACTTAAGTAAAGTAACAAAGTATTTGTACTTAGTTACTTGACACCTCTGCAGAATACGCACTTGTGACAATCCACTGTTTTGACTGTAATGCAATGTATCTAAACTCAATAAATAATTGCTTTTAATAATGTAGAATACTGATAATTGTGATTATTGGTTTTTCTTTTTCCGTATATGAGCAGACTCAACTTATAGTGTGAGTTTATACGTTTTCTGGGTGAATGTTTACGTTTTGTTTAAACTCACTGATCCCTGCTGAAGTTCCACAATGCTTAAAAAGTGTGTTCAAAAACCTCCCCCACCCAAGAACCTGCCACAGAGGACATGACCTGTTTAATATGCAACATGTTACCTGCGAGGGCCTTGATGCGTGAGCGCTCAAACAGCCTGGCGGAGCTGTTGTCCATGTCCAGCTCATCTTCAGAGAGGTCAAAGCGGGTGTTGATGTGGCTGTACTGCTGCGTGATCTCCGCATTGTCGAAGTCTGTGGTGGAAGTCATGGCGGTGGCCAGCTTGTTGGTGGGCTGGACGGGGGACGGCAGCTGGCGTCCTCCGGTGTCCTGGATGAAGAGGGAGGTGAATGGATGTCAGGACAGATGATGAATACTGAAGATTATCTGAAACAGATAAGAGACAGACACCTAATTAAAACTGATTTAACGTGTAGAAAAAGTTTTCTGTTTAAAATACTTTGTGGAACAAAATGGCCAGTGACCAACGGTAGAGAGAGAAAAATAAACGTGATTAACCTGCTTTTGAAAACAATTCGAATTGGTGAATTTAATTTATTCAATGGGAATCTTTCTGTCTGCAGTTCACTTTTATTTAAATTTCAATTTTCAGTTTATCACTTGTTGTGGAGAGGATGCACCTCTACCTGGGATCATAATTTCATTTTAGACACTTTAAGCAGATTTCTTTAATCTAAATATACACTGCAAAAACTGTCCATCTAACCAAGTTTTAAAATCTTATATCCAGCCAAAAAGTCTTTTTGATCTTGTTTTGAGACTGATTTACTAAACAAGAACTGATTGTGTAAGAATAATAATCTTGTTTTCAGAATGTGTAAGATTATTTGTCTTGTTAGTCTGAAAATTTGACTCAAATTAAGTTAAAATATCTGCCAGTGGAGTAAGAAAATTTTACTTGGTAAGATTCTTGAAATGTTTTCTTATTTCAAGAATCTTACCAAGTAAAAATTTCTTGGTAAGATGGACAGTTTTTGCAGTGTATGAAGTCACATGAAGAGACGGTTACAGAGAGCCACCCTCAGAGCTCCATTTTGTGTCACTTTGCCCACAGTGTCTACGTGTTCTTTACATGGAATGGCGGGTTGAGGGGGAGCCGCTCAGATAGCTCTATCTGTATGCTGCATAGCTCTCTTATCATGTTGCACAAGGGGGAGGGCAACCCCTCTGTAGTGCAGAACTTCATAAAACCGCCTTATTTTAAATGATGTGGGACATCATTTGAAATGCAAGGAGGAGTCAGTAAAAAAAAATCTTGAAATTAAATGAGGGGAGGGAGTTTGGCACAAACTGTTGAGGTGGGCATACATGACCATTTGCACTGATGTAACGCTCTGAGTGACTTAAAGGGCAAGCATTCCTTAAAGCAGGGGTTCTTAACCTTTTTGACCTCTGGGCCCAATTTGTTGAACATAAAGTGACACGACTCACGAGGCCTGGTCAGACATTAACAATGTGCGGATCAAAATGATAATTATTCTAATCTAAATCTCGGTTTAATTTTTATTGTATTTTCATCAAAACTAAACTATCATAACTAACATAACTAAACTAAATACACTTACAGTTTACAAACATTTTTATATTGTAACCTGCCCATAACAATTATTTGAACAAATACAAAAGTCAGTCAACAGACCACTCAGGCTTATCGGCACAAAAATATATATATTTAATATAAACAACAAAATTAGACAATTCAAAAAATAATATTGTGGGCATAAAATAAATAAATTAAAATTGTTTAATGTTGTTTAATGTATCAAATTTAAAGAAACTGTAAAAATAAATTTGATAAAGTACAAATGAAAATATAGCCTTTTTAAACTTTTGCAACCAGAAGCTGCTCTTCATATTAGTGACAAACAATAACAGTAACAACAGATTTTTGACAAGTTTAAAATACATTAAAAATATTTAAAAATAAATTACAAAATTAATTTAAAGTGCAAATTAAAATACAGTTGTATCTGCAGCTGTATTTGATAATGTTTTGAACTATTAAAATATTGCCTGGTAAAAACAGAAGCTGCACTTCATATTAGTGACAAACTTTGATGTTTTTTGATGAGTTACTTTCATTTTTGCTTCTACTTTTCATTTAAAATTACAGAGCCCGCCGGGGTCAGTGGTAGAAAAAAAAAAAAACAGCCGCTGGTTCTTCTTCTACATGTTAAAAAAGTTGTTAAACATCTGAGTGGCGCACTACCGCTACTTGAGGTGAGAAAGAGTATTGCACCTTATTCAAAATAAATGCGGTCCCACGGCCCTCTGCGGCCCAAAGTTAAAAACTGTTGTTCTTTTGAGGCCTTCAAGGTGGCGCTCGCGGCCCACAACTGGGTCGCGGCCCATCGGTTAAGGATCTCTGCCTTAAAGGAATGTATATGACCTGCCATCTTTCAAAGCAGTGCTTAAGACTGGGATATTTTATGCTGAGAAATGATCTTATCCTTTTTAGTCAAAACTTAAAAACAATAAAACAAAGATATTATGTGATAGAGCTCGGTGACAAATTTCAATATCTGTAATTTTTTATGTGATATAATCATTCTTCCTTTTGCTGATGTTGACTAACTGTGGCAGCCATCTTGAAATGGGTTACCAGTGAACGGATGTTAAAGAAACTTTTAGGGTTGCACACTGATTTCCTTAATTTTGGGAGATAGGACGATATTTAGATAAGGTCAGTGGAAAAGATTGACTTCTCATCGACCTCCGCAAAGGTCTGAAAATCAGCCACAGTCTCCTTTTTGCTCTGCTGTGAGCTCTACCTAATATCCAGTTAAAACAAGTTTGTATTGTTTCAAGGGTATTTTTCAATGTTTTTCAATAAAATAAGACTGGATGCTGAAACTGCATTGTGCCCTTATAACACCCGACAGTGTCAGTTATTTAAAAAATCATTTCATAAACATTTGAAGTTGTCATGAGGTTTGTAAAACATGAAAAGTCTTGTTTCAAGAAAACAAACTAACTTGAATTAAGACAAATCTGCTTCTTTGATCAGCTTGCCCACTCAAAGTAATAAACATCTATCTATCTATCTATCTATCTATCTATCTATCTATCTATCTATCTATCTATCTATCTATCTATCTATCTATCTATGGTATCTATCTATGGTATCTATGGTATTTATCTATCTACGGTATCTATCTATCTACGGTATCTATCTATATCTATCTATGGTACCTATCTATCTATCTATCTATCTATCTATCTATCTATCTATCTATCTATCTATCTATCTATCTATCTATCTATCTATCTATCTATCTATGGTATCTATC